TAAAGGATCAATATACAATCAATTGCATCTGTATGCACTGGAAATGAACATTACAACTATAATATTTTTAAAACTGCTGTAACAATATCAAAAAAAGGATAAAATACACGTAAATCTAACAAAAGAAGTGCAAAACTTGTACAATGAAAATTTGGAAGAGATTTAAAAAGATGTAAATATATGGAAAGATACAAGCTCATGGATCAAAAAAATTGTGAAAATGGCAATATTCTCCAAACTTATCTACAAATTAAACACGAGCCCCATCAAAAATTAGTAAAATTTCCCAGGTGTTAGCAAAGTTTTGTGGAAATCCAAGGTATTCAGAACAGACAAAACAACTTTAATAAAGAAAAATAAAGTTAGAGTATTAACACTTTCCAATTTCAAAATTTATTACAAAGTTGCTGTAATCATTACAATGTTGTACTGGCATAAAGATAAATCTGTAGATCAATGGAACAGAAATAAGCTCAGATATTTATGGTTTGGTTTTTGAAAAGGTGTCAATGAAGAAAGGAATAGTCCTTTCAACAAATGGTACTGAGAAACCAGATATCAACATACAAAGATGAAGTTGTACCCCTACTCCACACCATATACACATATTTACTCAAAATTAGTCATAGACATAAATATAAGAGCCAGAATGTTAAAACTCTTAGAAGAAAACTTAGGAGTAAATATCTTCATGAACATGCTTTCTTAGATATGGCATCAAAAGCATAAGCGATAATATATACCAAAAAAAACTGAAATCAGGATCTTGAAGAGATATCTATTTGTACCCTCATGTTCACTGCAGCATTATTCACAATAGCCAAGATATGGAAACAACCCAAATATACTTACAGACAAATGGATAAAGAAAATGTGGGATACACATATGATGGAAATTATTCTGCCTTAAAAAAGGGAAATCCTGCCTTTTTGATAATATAAATGAACCTAGAAGACATTAAGTGAAATGACCCAATCACAGGAGAATAAATACAATGTGATTTCACTTATATGAGGTATCTAAAAAGGCCAAACTCATAGAAGCAGAAAAGAGGATGGCAGCTGCCAGTGGCTGAAAGGAAGGAGAAATAGGAAATTATTTTCAGTGGGTTCAAGGTTTCTGTTATGCAAGATGAGCAAGTTCTACAGATTTGCTATACAACACAGTACCTGTAATTAATAATACAATAATTTGCACTTTAAAATATGTTGACAGGATAGATCTCACGTGAAGTGTTCTGAAAGAAAGAAAGAAAGAAAAAAAGAAAGAAAGAAAGATCCACAAAAGAACAGAAGGAAATTGCTAGAGGTGAAAGATGTGTTTATTATCTTGGTTGTGGTAATAGTATCACAAATATATGCGTATGTCCAAACTGATCAAGAGCGTACATTAAATGTGTACACTTTTAATATCAATCACACCTCAATAAAACTAAAAATAAGTGATTAGGACTAATGAAAAGAAAACCCATGCAATGGGAGAAAATATTTTCAATTCAAATATTCATAACAGACTGTATCCAAAATATAGAAAAAATCCTTATATCTCAGTAAAAATTCAAATCACCCAGTAAAATATGGACAAAGGATTTGAATCAATATTACTCCAAAGAATTTATACAAGTATATACAAATGAAAAAGCACATGAAAAGATGCTAAACATCTTTAGGCAACAGGGAAATGCAAATCAAAACGCAGTGAGATGCCATTCTATATCCATTTAGATGGCAATAATAAGAAAGACTTATAATAATACTTCTTGGTGAAAATCTGGATAAACTAGAATCCTCATTCACTTGTGCGAATGTAAAAAAAAACTATAGCCACTTTGGAAAAAAATCTTGGCATTTCCTCAAATTTTGGTACATAACTATCATGTGACCAAGTAATTCCACTTCTAGGTATTTACCCAAGAGAAATAAAAGCATATGTTCATACAAAGATTTGTACACCAATATTTACAGCAACATCACTCACAATAATCGAAATCACCAGGGATCCTGGGTGACTCAGTCTGTTGAGCGTCCAACTCTTGATTTCATGAGTTTCAGCCCAGCATAGGACTCTGTGCTGACATCACAGAGCCTGCTTGGGTTTCTATGTCTCCCTCTTTTCCTGCCCCTCACCTGCTGGTTCTCTATCTCTCTGCCTCAAAATAAATAAATAAACATTTAAAAAAATCACCTAAAACTTTCCATAGAAGTTCTCTTCTCTTGAATCAGTGCTAACCCTATGAACTGCTTTAATCAATACAGTATGGGGCTAAGTAATGCTCAGCTAATTCTGAATCTAAAGCTTAAAAGGCCGAGAAGCCTCTACTTTTATGCTCTTGGGACCCACTGCCATGATACGAAGTGGGATTAGAACCAGGCAGCCCCAGCTGAGCTCCCAGCCAATAGCCAACATCAAATATCAGCTTACATGAGTGAGCGACCTTGGTTGGACATCTGGGCCCAGGAGAGCTTCCTGATGACTGCTGCTCCAGATTGCGGAGCAGACTTCCCAATCAAGTCCATTCAATTCATAGGATCACGGCATATAATAAAATGGTTGCTGCTTTAATTTACTAAGATTTAGGGTGTCAAACAGATACTTAAAATAGTGAGTTTGGCATATCTCAGACCTACTTGGTAGTGGGGATGAGGAGGGTCCTAGCTCATTCCATGTTCTGTGTTCTGCTCAAATATGAAACAGATAAATTTGCAGTTGATAAAGAAGTTGGTTACTGGTTATCTATTCAATAATATACGGCATGTACCTTTGGGTTCTAAATGAAAATATTCAGGTAATTATTGAAAAGGTTCAAAATCCATGTTTCTTTTTGATAAAAATAAGAAAAATATCAGGTATACCTTTATTCACTTAGTTAAAAAAAATCTATGAAATTCTTGTTTTGTCCTGGGCAATGTGCTAAGAACAGAATACAAATTTGAACTAAAAAGGACAATGTCATTGACTATACAGAGCTCCTGGCTTTGGAGGTTTTGATAATCCTTATGAGCTGTGTTGTGCCCTGATTTTGGTAGAAAATAGCATGGGAAATGGAAAGGATAGGTTTGAGAGATGTGTAACTTGGAGATGATATAAAAGTTTCTGTTTAACTAGATCTGGCATGAGGGATAGAAGGAGAAATCAAGGTTAGCTCTTGGGTTTTCAGCTGGGAAAAGTAGTAGAATTGGAAGTGAGTTGATTTTTTCTGTTTTGTTGACTTTAGGATTTCCTTAGGATAGCTAAGGGAGATATTTAGAATGAAGCTGGAAGTATAAGCCTGAAGCTTAGAAAAGAAACATGGGCTAGAATTACAATTTGCAGTCATAAGAATATACATGTGCACAAATCTATGGGAAAAGTTGTTTGTTCAGATATTTCAAGTGGGAAGACAAGATGGTTTGAAAGAGAAACATGGACATTTTAAGACCTGGCAGAGGAAGAAAGACCACTTAATAGGATAAGGAGTGGACAGGAGATGAACTGGAAAAATATTACATTACAAACTGTCAAATGCATCTGAGAGAATATATGAGATAAGGACTATAAAATACCAATTGGATTTATAAATTATTCAATTATTGGTGACTGGAAAAAGTCAATTCCATAGCATAGCATGACTTCTATGAGGAAGCAAATACATTGAGCATAGAAAATAGTTTCAGGATGTTTGGTTTAAATATTTATTACTTTTTAAAATTTGTTTTGAAAGAGAGTGTGCACACATGAGCAGAGGAGGGGCGGAAAGTGAGAGAGAGAGAGAGAATCCCAGGCAGGCTTTGAGCTGTCAGCACAGAGCCCAACACAGGGCTCTGTCTCAATAACTGCAAGACCATGACCTGAGCCAAAATCAAGAGTTGGATGCTTAATTGATTGTGCCACCCAGGTGCCCCTTAAGATGTTTGGTTTAGAGGGAAAGCAAGAAACAGGGGAATAGAGGCAGTGGTATAAAGGGGTAGTAGGTAGGGAAGGTGGGTGTTTTCTGCCAACATGCCTGTGATAAGACTTTGCATTATCTCTACAGAATTGTAAAACAATAATAAATTGACTAAATAAACACCTGTCTGTGTTTATTATCACCATGCATAGGCAATTCAACGATAAAATATTCTTCTTAGAGCAGATAACACATCTTCATCATTTCCTCCTTAAATCACTTCATAGCAAAAGAGAATAAGGGGTCAAAGAAAGATTTATGATCTATTTGTTTGTTTATTGTTTTAAGAGAAATACTTGTGCACATTTAGATAGCCATAGCATTTCTCCCAGTTTAATTAAACTTTAGGCAGGTTTCTTCCACCTCTAGGCCTCTCTTTTCTTAGAGAATTTACTTAAAAAAAGTTATACCTGCAAATTCTTTCTCTGTACCCTTTGACATATAAATCCTTCAAAAAGCCTCTTGCTAGTTTTATAACCATGGACCTTCTTTTCTTTTCTCTTTTTTTTTTCTTCTCTTCTTTCTTTTTTTCTTATTTATTTATTTATTTATTTATTTATTTATTTATTTATTTTTATTTATTTATTTAGAGACAGAGAGGATGTAAGTGGTGGAAGGGTAGAAGGGGAGGGAGAATCCCAAGCAGGCACATGGTTGTCAGCACAGAGCCTGATGTGGGACTCAAACTCACAAAAAACTGGGAGATTATGACTTGAGCCAAAATCAAAACCTGGAGTCTTAACCATCTGAGCCACCCAGGCACCTCTGGACTGTTTTTCTCAAGAACCTGGGAATGTCCTTAAGAATGTAATCATCAAGGAAGGTAGCACCCTATCTCCCAGTGTCTGCTGAAGGGTCTATCTGATGGGCACTGCTTCAAGTTGTAAAAGTACCTCCTGTCGTGAAGGTATCAAAAAGTTTTTCTTTCGGGTAAGGTCAATCAGCAAACCCCAATGGCCTACAATCCCTCCACTCCAGTTACTAGAAACTATGGTGCCTTTTTTTTTTAGCAGAGTTAACTGTGTTTTGCTCTCTGTCCTCTATTTCGATAGCCTTGAATAAAGTTTTTCTTACCTGTTTAACTTTGTGGGTGCAATTTTTACTTCGACAGTCAGGAAGGAATAAGTAGAATTTGTAGATTCAGGTGAGTGAAGAGATAATCAATAGAACAGAGTTTCTGAAAAAAAAAATAAGAAGATGAAAGATTTGATTTAGCCTGGAGCACAGCCATCTCATGGCTCATAATCTACACAATATTCTTCCAAATGACACCAGACTGAAGTGTATTGGCTTTCTGTTTGGGAGTGGGTAATGACACTCTTATTCTTTGACAAGAAAGTGACTATTTTGACATCTTTATGTTGGATATCTAAAATTAACCAACAGTACATACTGGGTATGTATAAGATTTTATACATACAAGTCACAAGTTTTACTGTCACCCTAAATCTCTTCAAGGTTTAAGTTAGACAATAACTGAAAGGAAACACTAATTGATTGTTTCTCTTCTTACCTCTCACTCTTAGCTCAATTATTTTTGCATACTTCACAGCATTTTTTACATAGGCATACTTGGTATTCATTTCATTGAATTGAATTCCTACTTGTAGTTGAAATATCATGAAGTGAAGTACCAATACCATTTTGTCTCTGAATAGCAAAGAAACTCATTGAATTCAGATTTAATGTCATGTTCTTTATTCTTTAATAATAGTCAATAAAAGACTTGTTCATTTACACATCTGCTCAATAAAAGGAAGAATTTTTTAATAATTAGGCTTTCCAACAATCCAAATAATGGGATTGTTTGCCTTTATTTTCTTTCTTTCTTTCTTTTTTAATATAATTTATTGTCAAATTGACTAACATACAGTGTATAGAGCGTGCTCTTGGTTTTGGGGGTAGATTCCCGTGATTCATCACTTACATGCAATACCCAGTGCTCATCCCAACAAGTGCCCTCCTCAATGCTCATCATCCATTTTCCCCTCCCCCCGCCATCTACCCTCAGTTTGTTCTCTGTATTTAAGAGTCTCTTATGGTTTGCCTCCCTTACTCTGTTTGTAACTATTTTTTCCCCTTCTGTTCCCCCATGGTCTTCCGTTAAGTTTCTCAAGTTCCACATATGAGTGAAAACATATATGTCTTTCTCTGACTTATTTCACTTAACATAATACCCTCCAGTTCTATCCATGTTGCTGCAAATGGCAGGATTTCATTCTTTCTCATTACCATTGTATATATAAACCACATCTTCTTTATCCATTCATCAGTTGATGGGCATTTAGGGTTTTTCCATACTTTGCCTATTGTTGAAAGCATTGCTATAAACATTGGGATCCATATGCCCCTATGAATCAGCAATCCTGTATCCTTTAGATAAATTCCTAGTAGTGCTATTGCTGGGTCATAGGGTAGTTTTATCTTTAATTTTTTGAGAAACCTCCACACTGTTTTCCAGAGCGGCTGCACCAGTTTGCATTCCCACCAACAGTGCAAGAGGGTTCCCATTTCTCCACATCCTTGCCAGCATCTCGCCTTGCCTCTTGTTTCCTGCGTTGTTAATTTTAGCCACTCTGACCAGTGTGAGGTGGTATCTCAGTGTGGTTTTGATTTGTACTTCCCTGATGATGAGTGACATTGAGCATCTTTTCATGTGTCTTTTGGCCATCTAGCTGTCTTCTTTGGAAACGTGTCTCTTCAAGTCTTCTGTCCATTTCTTCACTGGGGTATTTGTTTTTCGGGTGTTGAGTTTGGTAAGTTCTTTACAGAATTTAGATGCTAACACTTTATCTGATATGTCATTTGCAAATATCTTTTCCCATTTTGTCAGTTGCCTTTTAGTTTTGTTGATGGTTTCCTTTGCAGTGCATAAGTTTTTATCTTGATGAAGTCCCAATAGTTCATTTTTGCTTTTAATTGCCTTGCCTTTGGAGACATGTCAAGCAAGAAATTGCTGAGGTCAAAGAGGTTTTTTCCTGCTTTCTTCTCTAGGGTTTTGATGGCTTCCTGTCTCACATTCAGGTCCTTCATCCATTGTGAGTTTATTTTTGTGAATGGTGTAGGAAAATAGTACAGTTTCATTCTTCTGCATGTTGCTGTCCAATTCTCCCAGCACCTTTTGTTAAAGAGACTGTCTTTTTTCCCATTGGATACTCTTTCCTGCTTTGTCAAAGTTTAGTTGGCCATACATTTGTAGGTCCAATTCTGGGGTCTCTATTCTATTCATTGGTCTATGTGTCTGTTTTGTGCCAATACCATACTGTCTTGATGATTACAGGTTTGTAGTAGAGGCTAAATTCTGGAATTGTGATGACTCCTGCTTTGGTTTTCTGCTTCAATATTACTTTGGCTATTTGGGGTCTTTTGTGGTTCCACACAAATTTTAGGATTGTTTGCTCTAGCTTTGGGAAGAATACCGGTGCAATTTTGATTGGGATTGCATTGAATGTGTAGATTGCTTTGGGTAGTATTGACATTTTAACAATATTTATTCTTCCAATCCATGAGCATGGAAAGTTTTTCCATTTCTTTGTGTCTTCTTCAATTTCTTTCACCAGTTTTCTATAGTTCTCAGCATACAGATCTTTTACATCCTTGGTTAAGTTTATTCCTAGGTATTTTATGATTCTTGGTGCAACTGTAAATGGGATCAATTTCTAGATTTCTCTTTCTGTTGCTTCATTACTGGTGTATAGAAATTCAACCAATCTGTACATTGATTTTGCATACTGTAACTTTGCTGAATTTATGTACCAGTTCTAGCAGCTTTTTGGTGGAGTCTTTTGGGTTTTCCATGTAGAGTATCATGTCATCAGCAAAAGTGAAAGTGTGACTTCTTCTTTGCCAATTGTGATGTCTTTGATTTCATTTTGTTGTCTGATTGCTGATGCTAGGACTTTCAATGCTATGTTAAACAACCGTGGTGAGAGTGGACATCCCTGTCGTGTTCCTGATCTCAGGGGGAAAGCTCTCACTTTTTTCCCATTGAGGATTATTTAGCTGTGGGCTTTTCATATATGGCTTTCATGATGTTTAGGTATGTTCCTTCTATCCTGACTTTCTTGATGGTTTTCATTAAGAAAGGATGCTGTATTTTGTCAAATGCTTTTTCTGCATCAATTGACAGGATCATATGGTTATTATCCTTTATTTTATTAATGTGATGTATCACATTGATTGATTTTCAAATATTAAACCAGCCCTGCAGCCCAGGAATGAATCTCACTTGATCATGGTGAATATTTTTTTTATATGCTGTTGAATTTGATTTGCTAGTATCTTATTGAGAATTTTTGCATCCATGTTTGCCTGTAATTCTCCTTTATGGTGTGGTCTCTGTCTGGTTTGAGAATCAAGGTAGTGCTGGTTTCATAAAATGAGTCTGGAAGCTTTCCTTCCATTTCTATTTTTTGGGGAACAGCTTGAGAAGGATAGGTATTAACTCTGCTTTAAATGTTTGGTAGAATTCCCCAGGGAAGCCATCTATCTGGTCCAGGACTCTTATTTGTTGGGAGATTTTTGATAACTGATTCAATTTCTTCACTAGCTATGGGTCTGTTCAAATTTTCTATTTCTTCCCGTTTGAGTTTTCGTAGTGTGTGCACGTCTAGGAATTTGTCCATTTCTTCCAGGTTGTCCAGTTTGTTGGCATATAATTTTTCATAGTATTGTTTGTGTTTCTAAGGGGTTGGTTGTGATAAGTCCAATTTCATTCATGATTTTACCTATTTGGGTCCTTTCTCTTTTGTTTTTGAGAAGTTTGACTAGGGGTTTATCAATTTTGTTTATTTTTTGAAAAAAAAAGCTCTTAGTTTCATTGATCTATTCTGTTTTTTTTTTAATTCTATATTGTTTATTCCTCTAATCTTTATTGTTTCTCTTCTTCTGATGGCCTGGGGTTTCTTTGCTGTTCTGCTTCTAGGTTCTTTAGGTGTGCTGTTAGATTCTGTGATTTTTCTTGTTTCTTGAGATAGGCCTGGATTGCAATGTATTTTCCTCTTAGGACTGCCTTTGTTACATCCCAAAGGGTTTGGACTTTCAGGTTTTCATTTTCATTTGTTTCCATATATTTGTTAATTGAATTGAATTGATTTTTAATTTCTGGTTGACCCATTCATTCTTTAGTAGGATGTTCTTTAACCTCCATGCATTTGGAGGTTTTCCAAACTTTTTCCTATGATTGATTTCAAGTTTCATAGCATTGTGATCTGAAAATGTACATGGTATGATCTCAATTCTTTTATATTAATTGAGGGCTGTTTTGTGACCCTGTATGTGATCTTGGAGAATGCTCCATAAAAACTCAAGAAAAATATGTTTTCTGCTGCTTTTAGATGAAAAGTTCTGAATATATCTGTCAAATTCATCTGGTCCAGTGTATCATTCAGGGCCATTGTTTTGGGTTTTTTTTTTTTTATTATTATTGATTTTCTGCCTAGATGATCTATCCATTGTTGTAAGTGGAGTAGTTATAGTCACCTGCAATTACTTCATTGTTATCAATAAGAATGCTTATGTTTGTGATTGTTTTATGTATTTGGGTGCTCCTAAACTGAGTGCATAAACACTCATAGTTGTTAGCTCTTCTTGATGGATAGATCCCATAATTATGACATATGATATAATGCCCTTCCTCATCACTTATTAAAGCCTGTAGTTTAAAATCTAGTTTGTCTGATAGAAGTATGGCTACTCCAGCTTTCTTTTGACTTCCAGTAACATGATACATGGGTCTTCATCCCCTCACTTGCAATCTGAAGGTGTCCTCAGGTCTAAAATAGGTCTCTCTTTTTTTTAACTTGTAACATTTATTTATTTTTGAGAGACAGAGCATGAGCAGAGGAGGGGCGGAGAGAGAAGAAGACACAGAATCTGAAGCAGGCTCCAGGCTCTGCACTGACAGGCTTATAGCAGTGAGCCTGATGTGGGGCTCGAACCCACAAACTGTGAGATTATGGCCTGAGCTGAAATCAAACACTCAACCGACTGAGCCACCCAGGGGCCCCTTGTAGACAGCAAATAGAGGGGTCTTGTTTTTTTAATCCATTCTGATACCCTATGTCTTTTGATTGGAGCATTTAGTCCATTTACATTCAATGTTATTATTGAAAGATATGGATTTAGTGTCATTTTACTATCTGTAGGTTTCGTGCTTGTAGTGATGTCACTGGTCCTTAGTAGTTTTTGCAACATTCCACTCACAGTCTCCCTTAGGATCTCTTGTAGGGCTGGTTTAGTGGTGATGAACTCCTTCCGTTTTGTCTGTCTGGGAAAGCCTTTATTGCTCCTTCTATTCTGAATGACATTCTTGCTGGATATAGGATTCTTGGCTGCATATTTTTCCAATTCAGAACATTGAATATTTTCTGCCACTCCTTTCTGGCCTGCCAAGTTTTAGTAGATAGGTCTGCTACTACCCTTAGCTCTTTCAGAAATCTCTCTTTATCTTTGTATTTTGCCAGCTTCACTATGATATATCATGCAGAAGATTGATTCCTATTACATCTGAAAGGTGTTCTCTGTGCCTGCTGGGTTTCAGTGTCTGTTTCCTTCCCCAGATTGGGGAAGTCTCAGCTATGATTTGTTCAAGTACATCTTCTGTCCCTTTCTCTCTCTCCTCTGCTTCTGGAATTCCTATGATATGGGTATTATTACATTTCATTGAATCATTTAGTTCTCTAATTCTCCCCTCGTGGTCTAGAATATTTTTATCTCTCTTTTTTCTCAGCTTCATCATTTCCCAAAATTTTATCTTCTATTTCACTTATTCTCCCCTCTGCCTCTTCCATCTTCATTGCCACTGCATCTAGTTTATTTCCCACCTCATTCACAACATTTCTTAATTCCTCATGACCAGTTTTTAGTTTCTTGATCCCTGAAACAATAGATTCTCTCCTGTCTTCTATGCTTTTTTCAAGCCCAGTGATTAATCTTATGACTATTTTTATAAATTCTTGATCAGATATACTGTTTATATCTGTTTTGAGCAATTCTTTAGCTGTCATTTCTTCCTAGAATTTCTTTTGAGGAGAATTCTTCCATTTCATCATTTGGCGAGTTTTCTGTCCCTTATGTGTTTTAAAAGCTTGCGATGTGTCCTGCACCTGCAAGCACTACTGTATTAAAGAGCAGTAATACACTGCCCAGGGCCTGGCACCTTCAGGAGGTGCTCTCTGTTGTTGTGATTCTGGTTGCTTTAACTCCCTACTTGTAGTGATGTTTTGGACCCTCCACCAAATGTGCTTTGATTTGTTCGTTGAAGTAGCTCTGGAAAAAAAACAAAAAACAAAAAAACAAAAAAACGAGGGGGGCAGTGGTGGTGGAAGAGGACTTATCCCATACAAACAGAGAAATGACAGGGGCAGGGAAAAAGAAAAGAAAAGAAAATTGACCAGGCAGAAAAACTATATGACTTAATCCAAAGGGGGGGGGGGCGGGGGGGAAATAAAGGAGATATAGAACAGGTATAAAGAGAATAAATACGTCTGTTTAAACAAATCAACAACCAGAATAACCAGACTAAAGGAAAGAAGAAATAAGAAGGAGAAAAGGAAGAGGGAAAAAAATATACCTATATGCACATTTTATATACGTGTAAAATAAGAATTCTCCAAGAATTAACCAACAGCAGTGCTGGTCTGGAGGAGGGGCTGTCTGGTTGGTCAGCCTCTATCTCCAGAAGCTACCAGGTACCAGACATGGAGAGGTATGGTTTGCCATAGGTTCCACCTCCACTGTGGGCCTGCTTTCCCTTACCTGAAGCCCACCTTGTTGGTGATGGGGAGAAAAATGGTGAAACCCGTCTCTCCTCCCCAGACTGGGTGTCTGAAACCACTTTGTTCAGGCAGTCCTTGTAGTGCTGCACGGGCGCCGTCCCTGCCCCCAGCTCCACAGTCTCCCGCAGTGCCTCCCTGGAGCTCATATGGGATTCAAGCCCAGGTGTCTTAAAGGGCCCCACTCCAAGTGCCCTGATTCCCCGGAAGTGCCAATCCGTCCCAACAAGGAAGGGCCTCCTCATATCCTCAGGTAGCTGCGCGCTGGTGTGAAAGATGCAGTTTGGCCCTCTCCGCCTCCTGTCGCGCATCCCTGGCGCACGGCTGGGATTTCAAACCCTGATGTCTTAAAGGGTCCTGCTCCATCTGCCCCGTACCCGGGGCAATGCGTGCCGCACCGCCGATATATGTCCTCTGGCTGGCGGGTGCAGGCGGTCTTTGTCCTCTGAAAGGTTATATACCTTCTTCCCACAGCACTCCAGGGAAGGGATTGCTTACTCCCACTGCGAACTGTGCCTCTGAACTAGTTACTGAGCCCGGGGCTGGTTCCCCTCCTCCCCAGGTGCGTGAACAGGGCAGCCGGCCCCAGTCCGGAGATAGCGCCACAGTTAGAGACTGGATCTTTCTCCGTCCCTGTCTGTGGTTTTTCTCTTGTTCAAATACAGCCCTACACTTCTACAGCCTCTCCTTTCTCTTCCCTTTGTGCAGAAGGGGATCCCCACCTCTGTTCCTCTGCCGCCCGTTGTATCTCTCCCAGTTTGCAATCACGCACCTATGGCCTGTCAGGTAGGTTGTCCCAGTGGGTCCCGGGAGGCGTCTCTGTCACTTTGCCACCCGGACTCTTGGAGTTCGAAGTCCTCTGACCTCAAGACTGCTGTGTTTGACGGAGGAGGGAACTTCGGTTGCCTCTTCTCCGCCATGTTGGATCTCCTCTGTTTGCCTTTCAAAGGAAGGAAATATCTATCCCTGGAAGTGCTCACCCAGCTAATTAAAGATCAGGATATGCTAGACCCTTATATTGACTGTGGCAATTTTTTTTTTCCTTCACAGTGCTGCTGCAAGTCCACCCACCCTGACCTCATGCCCCCTGGCATCCCCGTGGGGGCAAAATAGCTGAAACCTGCTGTCTAAGTCCGAACTCACCCTGTGGCTGAAGCTGGCAAGGCCCTTCCTGCCAGTTCTGCTGAGTCCCGAGAGGGCACCTGGTTCTAGAGCTTTCTACAGCTTTCTAGATGTGTGAATCAAATCTATTACCTACATTTACTGGGCCATAGGTACCCCATGACTTTGGTCATAGGTAATTTTTAACATACTGTAAAGTTCAAATAAGCTACAAATACCTTATTTTGAAAATAATATAAATATATTTATATATTTACATATATGTTTATATATATATCATAAATGTACATATAAACAGTAAGTATTTAATCAGTAGCTTTCACTGTAAGTTTGTTTATGCAAATAGACTATTTTATATGCTTACATTAGGCAGTACCCTAAGCATGATACCCGGCTTTCAAAGATGCATGATGTGTATTTCTAACAACTACTGATGCCAGATACTGAGTGTGGAAGTTGGAGAGTGCTATCAAGTACTCATCCTCAACTTCTTTTCCAGTACTTTCTGAAAGTGCAGTCAAGTCAGGTTTTCAAGGGTTGCTGGGTTCTGTCATCAGTTGGTGTTATTTCTGCAATCTTACATATACTATTCAGGGTTGACTTGAAGCAAGAGAGGGCATAGGTGGCCTCTTGCTTCTGAGAACAAGTTTTTCATCGCTGAGAGTGGAAGTGCTCGCTGAATAAAATTTTATGAGCAATAAAAGCTCATAAAAACAATGATGGGTTCATGCATTCTAATACATATACTAGGTTTTTACTTTGAAAACATACCACAATCTCTAAATAATTGGATTTCCCAGTCATGCTTTGGAATTAGGAATATGCAATTCTGGCAGGAGAGCATGAGTAAGGATTTTCCTTCTCTTAGTGCGGAAAGCATAGTATTGTTAAATTATTTCCACTGAAACTGTATATCCTTTCCACAACAGACACAAAACATGCTAAGACATTCAATTAGAAATAGTAGTTGAGAGATCTTAGCCTCATGAAAATTCCAGGTGTTTGGTATTGGACACTCAAATAGTGTTGAAAGAGATGATCTAGTACATTAAGAGAGGAGGAAAATAACTTGCTGAAGGATAAAATGTCCAACAGCCATTTTGTCCTTCAGGAGGAAGGTAACCATAAAAATTAATTACACTTTGGAGATCCAGGTGCATTAGATAACATATCTTAAAACCGAAGCTTGCAACTATATTTAAAGCCTTGTAATGAAGGACCAATTGTCTCACTTCTTTCCCCTTTGCTTCTTAGCTCTGAAATTTAAGGTGTGCTCGGCTGGTTTGGGTTCTAAAAATACTGGAACTCTAAAACGAAGTCTGATGGATGACTATCTGTGTTCAGGTAAATTCTGCTACATATCTCTAATGTAGCCATTTATGGATCCTATATGGCTATAAGCTCTTATGGATATTCTGTTCTTCCTTGCAAAGTAGTCACTAGGTGTGACCATACACTTGTTTCAATAATGGTACATCTTTAAATTTTCCTTATATACTTTGGTGGTTATAGTAAGAGGGGCATAATGTCTTGGGGTAAGTGCTAATGTTAACTTTGTAAAATAACACATTTGGAGGTAATTTCTCAAGTGTAAAAAAAAAGGAAGAATGTTAATATTGATGGATTTTATGAAGAAAAATTAAATAGATATTGTAATATCTAGTAATATCTTGTAATATCTAGTCTTAGTTCCCATTTATTTGAGAAACCAAGTAACCTAAAAATCAGAGACTGTTGAGTTTGGAAAATTAATATTGATATCAAATAAACAACACTGTTCTTTTATTCCAAATATATATCTCTTTTATTCCCATTTTTTCTATGTTATGAGTCTACTCTGGTAGATATTTTCTTATAAGCTATTTGCAAATATATATTCTAGGCTTGCTTTCTGCTGTATTTAAATGCATGATTGAATTATTTTATGAGTATACAATCACTTCCAAAACTTTTTATTATGCTAATTTAAGACATTACTTTCTATTTAAATTGTGTAATTTGATACCAAATAGTCCTTGTCTTCTGTTTATTGGAGAGGGGAACTAGTAAGGAATATAAGATAGAATCCAAACTGGGATATGGTGCTCGAGAAAAATTTGAAACATTTTTAAATGAAGGCACAAATTTCAATCCAGTTCACTATTTAAATGGCCTCATGAGCTTTGAAAGAGTCATCTCATATTAAGAGAGAGAAGAAGTACTATGGGAAGACTCTTGAATATGCAAATTAACCAGTATTAATTAGCTCCAGCAGCCATATATTTTAAGTTTAAGTGTTAGAACTTAGCTAAGGCAATAAGACCAAATCAGGTCTTAGTAATTTACATTTTTATAGTTCTTCCTAAAGCAATCCAGGATTGACTATTATTGCCAAGAGAGGGCATCAACTAGTATGTAAAATGCACTGCACTCTAGGCTATGCGTTTAAGTATGATCCCTCGTCGATTTCTGAAGATTTCTGCTTAAATGGGTAATATTTTAATAAGGCATACTCTTTTCTAAGTTGTTAAATGATGGTAAATAGGATCTGTGAAATCAAGTGACATTTAAGAGTGACGAGAGTATTTCATTTTCTTTGGAAAATGTTCATTTTCTCTAGCTGTTTTCATTTTTATCCTTGCTGTCCCCTTAAGGCACACCAGAGTATCCTTTAAAAGCATTTTAAAATCAGCTCCAACATCAAAGCAAACAAGGAGCCAGGACTGAAACCAGCTTTAAATGGGTCTTCATATTTGTTTTTTGAGCCATGTTGCTCAGAAGTTCTTAGTACGTCTCCCTCAGTCATCTCTGATGTCATGGTATCCTGTATGTAGAGTTTGAAGCCACTGAAAATAGTATTTTGCTCTTCACTTTGGCTATTTCAAGGATTTAGAGAGAACTTACGTGAAGAAATTCATTTCACAAAGGTAAAAAGTTCTGTCTCATTCAGTCCTACTGCATGATTGTACAATGTTTCATTTTCTTCTAGAGAATCCTGATGATTATACAGGGGCAATAATCAGCTATTACTTATCTCAAAAAGAGTGTTAAGAGGCTACACTGCTCTGTTCCAGACAGGCAATTTTCAGGAGTATAAGTTCCTTGTGGAGATTTCAAAGGATGGAGTTTTAAAAAGTGTATCTTGAAAAGGCTTATTTCATCTCACATTATTTTTTATCATACTTTAAAGCAGACTGCTTATATCCGAGGCCCCCGTAAATGTGGGCTCATTTCTCATACATTCAGTCCAATTTATTGCTGATGGGATAAGGGTAAGCCAACGAGATTTCATAGAAGTGGACTGCCAAGGATTAAAATTAGTCATCAAAACAGAACCACAATTCTAGAAGTGATATAGAAGAGGAATTAGCAATGAGCCATGACTTCCATGTATTACATTATGCAGATTGTGGATTATGCTAACAAAATTACCAGGTAATTTCTTCTCAACATGCACATTTGAAACACACAATAGAGAGACCTTTTCTACTCTTCAAACCACATTGGAGTTTTGCAGTGTCATATTACTCTTCTTTCCCAAGAAGGGATTTTTTTTTAATGGCTCAGATTACCATTGCATCTGGTTCTTTCCTAGTTAATATTGCTTTTCTCCCTCTTACTGAGGTAGGACAGACTGTTGGAAACTTCCTAATGGCTATTACAAAATTGGCAGAGCATTGAGAGAATATGAACCAGGAGGTCCATTAGGATGGTGAACTTGCAGGGAGTGAAGCTTTGCTTCTGCTTTGATACTAGGTAGGTGAAGGCATCATGTTCTAAATCCAGTCATAGTAAAAACTGTCGTTTATTGGCTATTCTAAAGCCAGTTGCAATATTCCATTCCCAATTGTTAGAATACGCTAAGGGCACCTTGGTGGCTCAGCTGGTTAAGCACTCAAGTGTTGATTTCTGCTCAGGTGATGATTTCATAGTCATGAGATTCAGCCCTGCACCGTACTAGGCCTGGAGCCTGCTTGGGATTCT